TAGGAGTGTTTCCCTTCAAAAAAAAATCCCAAAAATGTTTAGTTTGGTACCTTGCCCATCAAAATTAATCACGGCGACAGATTAGGAAGTGCATAAAAACTATATCTCTGCGTCATGATATACGAGTGCACAATAAATAAAAGTTGCACGTTGGAGGTGCTGTCAGGTCCGGGGCGAACCAGTAATTCACTCATTTAACCCCGAGTGCGGGTTTGCCTTTTAATTACAATTAACGCCGCGGATGATTTTCTTTCTTATTTTTATATATTTATTTATTTATCCATCCTTTTTTTTTAACCCAATTTCCGAGGAAATTGCTGCAAGCCGAACCGCGCCACTTATATAGCAGAAGCCGGGGGGCAAAAAGGGGTGAGAATAATATATCTGCATGGAAAAAAAAAAAAAAAAGTTCTCATAAAACTGCAAATCACTTAGTTTAAGCAATTGAGGGCCTTTGTCTGGCTGGAATTATCTCCCTTAAGCATCTCTGAATCTGTTGTGGCTTTTTTTGTCCCTAACAGGCAATAGAGGAAGGTCATTTTCTCCATCTCCTGCTCTAAATTTAAGGGGGGGAATGACCCTCCCTCGCAGGCTCTGGGTACAAAGACTTTTTATTGCTGCTTAAACCCTTCTGCAAGCAGCTCTCCAGCCCTTTTTAAGACCACCTCATAATAATAATAATAATAATAATACATCTGCAAAAGCAACGGGGAAAACTTTTATCGGGCAGTTTCCAACCAAACCGGTCTGGAAGAACATAAAAACCAAACTAATAAAATAAAAATCCCCACAAAAGAAACCGACTTGGGCTGTTGATTTGAGCCTCCGAAATACGTTGTTGCTGGAAGTTTTACACCCCCGGGGCCGCAGCTATAGGTGCTGGACCATATAGCCCAGGCATCCCCTCGGTGGGGACTGTGTGATCAGGAAAACACTCAGCTATACATCCATCCCTCCATACATTCCTCCATCAGTCCATCCCTTCACCTACCTTCCTATTTTTCTACCCACTTACCTATCTATATCTCTCTCTCTCTATGTATACACCTTCCTATCTCTCCTCCCTACCCGATTTCCTACATTTTTTTTTCCCTATAGGAAATCTGGGTTATTTTGCATCATGACCACAGTCAAATCTCCCCCCTCCCACCCACCTCCGCCGGATTGCTGCTCATTCCTGATTTTCCGCATCCCTCTCCTTTTTACCTCCTCATTTGGATGCCCGGGCTGCACATTTTGGGGCGAGAAGAGGTGATGTAGTGGTCTCTTCTCAGTGATTTTGGGGTCATTTGGGGGCAATGCGGGTTACTTACGCGGCTCTTGGGGCGATGCGGGAGGCCAAGAATCTCCGGAGCATAAAAAAGGAGAGAACTTTGGCCACCCTCTCCTCTCAACTCATCTATTTATTATTTTCCCTTCTATT